ACAACAAAATCAAAATTGCTCTCTACTTACACAATATTACCATAAGTAGAAAGAAGAAGAAGAGCCTTGTAGAAATTCTAGAAGTAACGTATCCCTCGGCGATGATCGCGAAATATGCTAAACGTGTAATACACGCGAGCATAAGAAGAATACATAATCGCAAAAAATATCGTGACATGCGAAGCATTGTAGGAAAGAAACACATACATATCCATATATATATATATATATATATATATATACACACGTACATATATATATATACATATATATACGTACAAGGGCACATACGATGTTTGCAATCTCACGTTTATTTTGAGATAGACGATGTAACGTTTACGAATGGAATCGCGAAGAAAATTAAAAGTACCAACGACCACATTTTTCTTTCCATATTTGTTCGGGAATGACTGAACGGATGTATCTGTGTGAGTGCCTGCGTATGTATTATGTATATGTATTTTGTGTTTCACTATGTGAACGCGCGCGCGCGCATGCGCGAACCCTTCGTCACGTTCGATTAATATTCCCGACACGTCGACGATATCAAACATGATTTTGCAGACACGCCGTACTTAAAGCGTTAAACAGGATTTAGCGTTATGTGCACGTTCCATATCACGTAATGACGTTACACTTGTCTCTCTCTCTCTCTCTCTCTCTCTCTCTCTCTTTCTTTCTTTTTCTCTCTTTCTCACTGTGTCTCTCTTTCTATGTATAATGTAATCGAATATCAACGATAAATCGAATTTAATAGCGCATGTTTATAATATCAATAAAGTGTGCGTACAAAAGAATGAAAAAAAAAGAAGAAGTAGAAGAAAAAAAAAAGATATAAGAAAAAGAAAAGAAAAGAAAAGAAAAGAAAAGAAAAGAAAAATATTAAAGTCACCTCAGGGATTTACAAAAGTTTTTGCGAGCTATAATTGAATCGTAGTACGTACGTACATTCTGTAATATTTACGTTAACTATCAATGTATATCTTTATCCTTTTCTTTCCTTCATTCTTCCTTTTTCGTCTTCTTGTTTCCTTTTTTTTTTTTTTTTATTGTATTTTATTTCTCTCTTTCTCTCTCTGTCTATGTAACATATCACGTCAATAAGATCAGATCGATTAAATGGTTACGATCGGAATCTGTGTTAACTTTTATCTACGTAATGAAATATATAATCAATGATTTCAAATTAGATAAGAAACAAACTTTCATAGATAAGAAAGCGGATCCGTGTTACTAATTCTTTCGTAATCGAGCTGTAATGAAATCATTGAACGTACTTACATTCTGTAATATTTATGTTAACGATCAATGTATCTTTATCCTTTTCTTTTTATTGTATTTTCTCTCTCTCTCTCTCTCTCTCTCCCTCTCACTTTATGTAACATATCAGGTCAATAAGATCAGATCGAATAAACGGTTATGATTGAATCTGTGTTAACTTTTATCTACGTAATGAAATATATAATCAATGATTTTAAATTAGATAAGGAACAAGTTTTCATAGATAAGAAAACGAATCTGTGTTATTGATTATTTCATAATCGATGTTACATGAATCCATAAGCATATCTAGGATTACATTAGAAATTATAACTGTTCATCATTGTTCTCATTATCGATAGACATGGTTAAAATTTTCCCACACAAATTGTTATCGTGCGTTTGCCTTTTAAATTATAAATATGAAGAGGAGGGGAGGGGGGAGGGGGAAAGTAAATAAATAAATAATAAAGAGAGAAGGAAAGAAGAAGAGATCAACGATTTGAACACCTTTTGGACGATGTAACGAAAATATTATTGAAAAAGGAAAAAAAGAAAAAGAAAGAAAAACCGAAAGAGAAAATAAACAAACAAAAAATTAACACTCGTGCATTGTCGTCCGAAATACTAGTCGTAAATAAGGAAAAAAAAAAAAAAAAAAAAAAAAAGAAAACAGAGATATTAAAAATCATCTCTCATCGATTCATCGAAAAGAGGAATTTGATGATACTATCATTTTTTAGATATTATTGTTTATTATTCTCTTGCTTTCTTTTTTATCGACAGTGCTTCAGCGAGACATTATTGAAGAACGTGCGCTTCGTTTGCGAACCTTCCATGATGCTTGGTGAGGATACTTACTATAGTCTCTCTTTCTCTCTCTCTCTCTCTCTCTCTCTCTCTCTCTCTCTCTCTCTCTCTCTGTCTCTCTCTCTCTCTTTCTGTCTTTCTCCTTCTATCCCAGTCAACTCACGCACGCACGCTCTGACGATATTCGCTTTAGTCGAGTCTTGCTTTTCGTCGGCGCGCCAACTGTATAAACGTAGCTCGAAGAAATGTCGTGCGACGTTGACAAAGGTATAGGTCAAATAATAAACAATCATATTCAACATTGTTATCATTAAATACGATTAATCGATCGAAATGCATGGTCGTTATATATCGAAATTCGATTGTCGGCGGGAGTTTTTAAATTTTTAATTGTAATGTGTTAAGGAAAAATTGTTTGATTATCGATCGGATTTGTGCGCTCCTATTGAATATTTGTGTGCGTAATTATTATATCGTATATATTCTGTGATTTATCTTTTCTCCGTTCTTATTGTTATCGTATAATTTTAATTAATTATATCGATGTTTGTTTTCTTCTTTTTTTTTTTTTTCTTTTTTTTCTTTTCTTTCTCTCTTTCTTTTCTTTAGTTCTTCTTCCTTTTCCATAGTCTTCGTTCTACTTTATTTCCTTTTTACTTTCTTTCCTTTTTCTTTATTTCTTACTTACTTTCTAAGCCGAACGCAATGGTGGAAGGTACCTTTTAAATTGGGCGCATGTATCTGTCGTAACACCGAGGTGTAACAGAAATTCTGCTCATGCCGCTTTTCTCTCTCACATAGCCGCGGTGAAAGGCTTTATCTTTCTGTTACGAGTGTTCGGTCGTTAAGTTAAGACGCAACGCCAAGAATACTCGTTTTCCTCGAGATATCGTACTGCAAATGCCAACATTTTAACAGCCATCGAGAAAAAACAGTTCTTGATCCTTTTTCTAACGATTTCTTCAAACATTTTCTATGATACGGTACGAAGAAAAACAAATATGTTTGTGTTATGTTTTATCTATGTACATGTATATATATATATATATATATATATATATATATATATATATAATATATATATATATATATTATTATATATTATATATATTTATTTGGGATACAACATTGATAACAACATAATTCTTTTTCTACAACAACATTAATTCATAGCATATAATATTATTTAATATTTATAATATTATATAATATTTATTTTATATAATTTCGATTCATGTAACAATTTTTTGTATATATATATATATATTTATTTATACAAATTTTTACGTGTTGTATCATTATACGTTAGCTCTAATAATTATACAACCGATTTCACAAGTGTCATTCGTTTTTTCAAGAAACTATATTTCTTTCAAAGTGATTAAATTTTTTATAATATCTAACAATTAATCACTACCTAGGAATTTAATTAAATATATATATATATATATTTTTTTTTTGTACTCCTATTGTCTAGGTATATGTAATAACAACTTGAGTAAGCTAAAACAAATATTCTAAAAATTTAAATGCCTCTTAGAAATGATCGCAAATATTATCTTAATTATAAATAAGTAAGAGAGAAATAAAAAAAAAGGAATGATTCACATAAGAGAAGCAAACAAGAAAAAGAAGAAAATACGTCCTTCTTGCGAAATGAAAGTGCTTTCAAGGTTCCTTAATTACACACGAGACATAACAGATAAATCCAATAATACTGTCTGGAAATAAGTGGACTTGACTTTGAAATAACTACAAGTTAAATACATATATATATATATGTGTATATATATATATATATATGTATATACATATGTGTATGTATGTATATATGAATTCTTTAGTACGTAGATATAAGAGAGACTATTTTTACATAAATAATTTTTATTGCTTTTTCGTGTTATCACTTAATCAAATAGCAGATATTTCTTCTTCATGTATCAAATCATCATTCTCGTCTTTGTGTTCATAGTCTATAATCAATATTAAACGTGAGTATTGACTTTGATAGCTCATTGCTTAAAATTTTTATGTATTTGTGGCTTTTCATATTATTTATTTTGCTTTCGCAATCAAATTGTTATTCATTTGCATTACATAAATTATATGTGAACGCATAAATATCGCATTTATTTAATATTCTTTATTTATTTAATTTATTTTATTATATATGATCATTTCATATATATATATATATATATATATATATTATTTTGTTTATAAAATGCGACATTATGATGCGACAAACTATGGTGGTGTAAGCTTTTGATAAATTATTAAAATTTATATATATATATATATATGATATTTCGCGATTTATAATCGAAAAGTCTATTGCAAGTAGAATGTGCATTGTAAATTTCCTCAATGTTACTTCATATCTCTGTATATTTCATATTCAAACGCAATTCAAACTCGTGGGAATACAGTAGGGTACTGTTTCTTGTTTGGCATCATGGTGCACAGTTTTACTCTGTTTACCACAGCATAATTACTTAAATGATCATCGTAATTGTAGGGAAATATAACGAGTGAAATTTATAACGAATTTTGACTTCCCGCTTCTCATTAAGAGTCACAGAAATTCACAGGATTAAACATTAATGAGAGATCGATCAGACAGTTAGTTGTGCTATGGATTAATTTAAAAAAATTAGTAGAAATTAAAATCGTTTCAAACATGGTATCGTCGTAATCAACTCGAATAAATTCAGGCCCTATTCATCAGTATAAATCAAACCGGTTAAACGTTAAATTTGTTTAATTCCAAAAGTAAATGCATAAATAAATAATATTTCTCACGTACTGCGCGTATTTTTTTTCTTTTCTTCTTTTTTTTTTTTTTTTTTTAATAATATGTAATGAAACAAAAATAAAATAAAATAAAGTACGACGTCAAACATTTAATGTAATCATTGTTCATCTTTTAGGTACTGTACCAGAAAGTACAGAAAATGATAATTTACTAGAGAGTCGTAATGATGTCCGGATGATATCCTGTTCAATTTTACCGGAACAGAGTGGTCAAAGGCATCATCGTCATCATCATCATCATTATCATCATCATCATCGCCATCAACGTCAAGCAAGATATCAGCATGATAATTGTAGAAACATATCGACCAATGAGAAATCGAATCAAAACGGACCTTTTGGGATCGTTGATGGTTCGAGTCACGATGTCATCTCAGGAACTCTTCCATCGATCGTCGTCAGCGACGTAGACGAGAACGATGAGGATCCACCGCCTTACAGCGCGATTGTGCCACCGGATCACGTCGCTTGGCCGTTCGTCTTCTCGACCCACATCCCATATTCTGTGCACGCCACGCAACCCTGCATAACAGAGCCGCCTTTGGCGCCCTTCCAGATACCACCATCACCATCACCAATTCCACTACCACCACTAGCACTAGCATCAACATCACCGGTACAACAATCCTCCTCCCTTCAACAACCCCCAACAACGACTCACCGACTTGAAACCCCTTCCCTCGATAATACCACCCCAACCCTATCTTTAACGCCTTATCGGTTCTTCAAGTTTGACTCTCACCGATCCATCATAGACCATCGTTCTTCGATCTTTACCGATAACGTATCCACGGACAAACAGATCCAAGGAAGATCACGAAGTGAGTATAGTTTATATACAATATATGTATATATGTATATTTTATATGCGTTATCCTCTTTAAATGCCATTATATTTCGGTTATAATGTATTGTAGATAGATATTTTATTGACTGAATCGTAATTATATATTGACTTGATTTATAAATAATTTATTATGATACTAAGGAAGAATAATAAATGGAAGACAAAATTTTATATATATATATTCCAAAATCAGGTTTACTGATCACTATTGATCACTTCTAGATAATTATTCATTTCTGGATGTTAAATTATTATTCACTTCTAGATATAATATTCATTTATAAATAAGTTTTATTATAAATAAAAAATTAATGAAGTGATTTATTTGTTAACGATTAAACTTACTTGCATTTATGTCATTGTCTAATCATAGATATTTTTATAACAAGATATTTTTATATTACCATTATGATTATTTTATACGATAACGATCAGCGATTTTTAATGATAACATAGAGACACTTAATTTCAATATAATTCATTATTCTTCTTTGTATTATAATTTCAATCAATAATATTTTTATATCGTTAAATGAAATTTTGAATGATTTTCGGAATAGTTCGATAATTAGTTATGTAATGATAAATGATAAATAACCATATTTTTTTTTTTTATAGAATAAAGATAGTCGTTGACAATCTTAAAAGTAAAAGATTCTTCGTTTCTCCGTCATAAAGATCCTATTCTCGTCCGCAATAAATATATTATAGTTGCCAATCGAATATCTTAAAGAATCTTTTTTAATAAATTTTATATCCAATATTATTATATTCCTTTAAAAATTTTCTTTTTTTTTTTTTCTTTACAGAATATGGAGGAATTTTAATTGCTACTGCAGTCATTGTTTTTCTCATGGTATTGTCCTTGATGGTTAGATTTGTTATGGAAAAAAGTTTCCGACGGCGATAGCGATTGCATATTTGGACAAACAAAATCAATGTTGAAGACGGAAGATAAAAATAAAATCGTGTTCGTTTACAATTTTTTGAAAATCAACGACAAAAGGTTAATGATAAAAGATCAACGATAAAAGGTCAACGATGAAAAGTCAAAGATAAAAGGTCAACAAAAAATATATATATATGTATATATATTTTTATATATATATATATTTTATATATATTATTATTATATATATTATATATTATTATATAATAATTATATATATTATATATATATATATAAATTGATGTCTCGTGATACAGAAGATACGTTTCAATATGTTGTTTCTCCTGTTGACGCATACGTGGATCTATCAATCGTTCATGGTATTTTCTCTTAAGGGTTATATATCGCCATTAAAAATATTTACCCTTGGGAACATATTGGATATTAGCTAACAAAACGCATAGATAAAAAACACATGGATACCTTTGTCTGAGGTTAGGCATTTTTAATAAAGTATCTAGGTTTCAATAATATGTCAACCCGGCCAATAAACAAATAATGAAAATAGATGGTTAGGCGCGATTAGCCAAGGATTGTATGGCGCTTAGCTTTGAAATATCCATTGACACTCTCTAATCTACAAGATCATTAAAACAAAGGGAGCACATATGGAATGTTTAAACATCTCAATGAATTATGACCCGACCAATGGGCATTTATTTTTTATTTTCCTTTCCATGCTCAGATCATACTTCAACTTTGCACTTTTTATTCTCTTTTCTAATATCATTACAGTCTTCGTGGATACTTTTAAAGACGTCAATAAAAAGTCAATTAAGTTACATGTTTTAGAATCATGACATCTCTCTCAAATCTCATTATATATCATTCCTTTAGAAACAGCGAGAGTACAAATAACTATGCATCATTACACGAAACACATAAACAATTGTAATTTATTTCATCAAATATACGATGATAATTTCAACGTGCGCAATATTTATTATCGCGCATCTATACCTCTTGAGTCTTACGGAATCCTTTAAAAGAACGCAAAATTAACAGAACCTATTAATTTGAGGGAATATGGCGAGCGGTATTTTATTGACGGCCTTCAACAGTATCCTAACCTAATGCCTCCGCCCTTATTCATTGCGACCACATCGTGGATTTATAGTTCCGACAACGAGGAATAGACGGGAGATATTCTCCGTGCAACTATCATCTTTGGTCCAGTGCGAGAGGCATATCTAAAATGACTCTCGTAATTGCGTCCTCACGATGTTACATCTCCTTTTGTAATTTTTTTCTATTTTTTTTATTTTTTATTTATTTATTTTTTTTATTTATTAATTTTTCTTTTTTTTTTTTTTTATTATTTTTTTAAACCCAAATCAACAGAGAAATTCGATAAATTCACGATTATATTTTTTATCGTCATTAAACGATCTATTTATTTTAATATAATTAAATTGTTCTTATTTCTTTTTTTTTATTCATTTATCAATACCGTCCAAGTTATTGCTTTTGCAAAAAGATGTACTTTCTTTCGCGTGTTTATCGATCACATTGATTTTTGTTCAGATAGGCAAAAGAAAAAAAAAGAAGAAGATAAAGATCTATCTTTCGAGTAACATGTTTCTACAGATCCTTTCAAAGATTATATATACATATATATATATATATACATATATATATATATATACATATATATATATATACATATATATATATATATATATATATATATATATAAAATTTATCTCTTTTATCTAATATCCTGTTTATTAATTGACATTTTATCTTCTTAATTCCGTCATTTATTTAGTATTTACATTTAAATAAGACGCAAAAAGATTCATGGAGATTCCACAAAATTTATTTCCTTTCGATTTCCTTTAGAATAAGAAGAGAAAATTGTTTCTCTTTTCTTTCTGATAAAACCTTAAAAAGAAACAACAATGTTCCAAGAAGACAAGTGAAACGATCGGTTCCGGCAGCTTGAAGCTGTTAATTATTCGTTAAACGTGTTATCCGTTTAAAGTGGAAAGTTCATTTCTCTTATCGGTCCATAGGGAAAACGAGAAGACAAAGTCTCCTTTTAAGAAAGAGAGAGATAAAAAGAGAGAGAGAGAAAGAGAGAGAGAGAGAGAGAAAGAGAGAGACAGAGAATAGAAAATAGAGAAAGAAAAAGTGAGAAAACAGGATCAAATGAAAAGAAAGAAAGAAAAATAGATAAATCGAGATAAAATAAAGAAAATTGAGAAGAAACTGGAAGGATGATTTCCTGATGCCCTGATTAAAAAAAATACGAAATCGTTCTTTTAACTATGTTGAGAGAAAAAAAAGAAAATAAGAAAGCTTAAAGATAAGGATCAGGATATGGATGGAACGAGACGAGAGTTAGGTGTTTGTCAACGGTTGTCGGTAGTTAATTACTTTACATGAAAGGAGCTTCCAACCCTTTTGCAGTTGCGCTTAAGACAGCAATGGTCCCTTCGTCCTAGCTACTCTCACCGTCTTGAGACACGTCTGTCATCCCTCCTCTGTTTCAAAGACCCAATCCCTATCCTTCTCTTCCACCCATCCCTCCCCCTCCCTTCCTTCCTTCCTTCCTTCCTTCCTTCCTTCCTTCCTTCCTTCCTTCCTACCCCTTTCATCCTCATTCTCTATCGTCATCTTCCTCTCTCTCTCTCTCTCTCTCTCTCTCCTCTTCTTCTCTTCTCTATCGTCATCTTTCTCTCTCATCACCTGTGAGAGTTTACGAGCTCATAATTCGTGCTCGTGTTGTAAACGAAGTCTTAGCGTAGTACGACGGAAAATTTTCGTACGCGTTAAGCCTCACACTCTCAAGCAAGCAAGCAAGTAAGCAAGCAAGTACGCGCACACACACATACACGCACACACACGTATACACACATTTGGAATTTCTTTTTATTTTTTTCTTTTTTATTTCTGCGTAAAAAAAAATATACATTGTCTATAATACGATGCTAAAGTCAACATTGAAATAAAAGTTTATATTGTAATTTTCTATTTGGCTTTCCTATTTTTCTTTTTTTGTTTCATTTAGAAGAGATTCAAATTGTGTTGAAAAAAAAAAAAAAAAAAAAAAATAATAAAAAAAGAAAAAGTAAAAAAGAAACGAGAATAGAATTATCCATTGTAGGATATTATAATGGAAATTTGATTTAAGAATTTAAGGACAAATTTTCATGACAAGGATAATTTCATTTCCTCGAAGATCTGATCGAGCTACAATGATATTATTTTTTTTTTCTTTTTTTTTTTTTTTTTTTTTTTATATAAATCATTGTTTTTCTCAAATATTAACATGGTTCCCTAACATGCGTATTATTTTTTTACGATTTATTTTATAATTAAACGATTGAGAATTATTATTTTTATACGATTGACGATCTTAATCATTTAATAAAATTGTTATTTATTCAATATTTCGTAATCAGTAAATATGGTTATTAAATGCGTTGTTTAATGTTTAACAAGTATTGTTCTCACAATACTTGTACAATAATTGATTGTAAAATAAAAATTTGTAAAATAAATGAAAGAAAAAATAAAACAACTAAGAACCCCGTAGTCAGGGTTGCGCAAAGGGAGATTTATTTTTTATATTGTTTATTGTATTCCATTATTTGTTTAATAAAGCTTTTCTTATTTTTTTATTACAATTGCAATTCATTTATAAAAAGTAAATCCTCAAAATAAAATAAATTTAATATATTGCACGCAATGGCTTGCATGTAATTAATGTACATTGAAAATTTATAAATATTTGACATTCCTAATTAGTTAATTGAAAATTTTGCCTGAAAAAAGAAAAGGAAGAAAAACAAAACGTTTCTGATCTCAGTTAACAAATATTAGAAACTAATGTCATTCAATTTTGTAAATAAAAAAAAAAAAAAGAAAATTGCAAGAAAAAATCATTTCTAATAATAAAATATTTTTTCAAAAAATATTGTAATAATATTTCTTTTTTTCTCTCTGATTTAGAAATAACGTTTTATGTTAATATTATTGTGGTGAATGTATTAAACCATGCGTTGTCACCTTCGCGTTCCAATGCATATAGTCACACTAATGCACGCATAAACATACATACTCATTGAAAAAGTTACATTGAGTAAGTTATAATCGATAGTGATGGAAGTTTTCGTGTTTCCTTCAGTTTCCTTTTTCTTGTTAATTGAACGATATGAATTCATTACTAATGTAATTTTTAATTTCGTATGCAACGTACGTTTTTTTCTCTTGTAAGGATATCGAATCATTCTTTAAATGCACTTTAAAAAATATTTATATATAGGTACTACGTAGTTACCTATTTCTATGTGCACGCGCGTGTATGTGTATGTGTTCGTGTTTGTGTTTGTGTACATGTATGTATATATATAGAATGTCCCTATTTTTTCCGACAAAATGATGTCAACATATTCTATTAGTAAAAATAGTTTATTATACAATAATTTATTAAAATATATATATATATATATATATATATATATATATATATAATAAATGGTTTATTAAAAATATTATAACAGAAATATGAAATAACAAAGGATTGATTTTCAATTAGTTATTATTAATGAGAGAAGATCGTCGATAATTATTAACGTTAGTTTCATTTCAAATTGTCGTATATTTTTAAAAATGCAATAATTATATATTTATCCAAGATTAAAATTTCATTACATTAAAAATATCTGATTGATTTCCTTTAATTTCCATAAAAACGTCTAAAAGTACTTATCGTAAATTTCTAAAGCGTGTCAATTTTTCTCTGATAAAAACTTTCCTTTTATTCTTTCTGACAAATAAAAAAAAAATTCAATTTGACATGACCATTGATCTTTAAGGATCAAAGAATTGTTACTTCTCGATTTGTCCATCGTCGAGGATAATGCTCATTTAAACATTGCCGTACTCGTGCTATATAATGTAAACACAGTAAATACTGCTTATGTAAACAGATAAGGTAAATACATAGCGCCAATTTGTTCTCACGCTACGTATATATGTATATATGTATGTACATATGTATGTATGAACATATG